TAGTAGTAGTAGTAGGAGTAGTAGGTAGTAGCAGCAGCAGCAATATAATAATAACAGTGGTAGTAGTAGTAGAATTAGTAGTAGTAGTAGTAGTAGTAGTAGTAGTAGCAGTAGTAGTAAGCAGTAGTTGCAGTGGTAGTAGTGTTCATGTATTCAGTGGTAGACCCTAAAAATAGTCATGGCTGGCACCCTTTTTCCGGGGGTCTTGGAAAATTTCGGGTGTCGGGTGTGCCCTCCATCATGACTCTCACCGTCACCCTCACCTTCACGGTCACTCTCGTCCTGTCTCTCTCTCTCTCTCTCTCTCTCTCTCTCTCAATGTCAACCTCACTCTCACTCTCCACTCACTCTCATTCTTACTCTCACTTTCGTCCTCACTCTCACTGCATTGATTTGCAGGTTTGAGAGGCGCGAGCTTGGAGACCCGGCTTGCAACCTTTGGTATGCACCTTGGCGTATTGTGATTTACTGCGAAATGCTGCATTTTCTATTCTCGCTGGAGATTCTTGGTCCGGCACCCCTCTTTTCAGCAGCTTCGATCTACCAGTAAGTATTGGCGTCAGACACCATGACATGGCAATGGCTGCAGCCTCGGACAGTGGGTCTGAGAGTCTGCGACACAAGACCTTGAAGTTTACCGACTCGGTGGCGAGTATACGTGCGCAAATGTAGCGACAAAATAGCCCATATGTATCCTGTAAGGCTGAATGATACCGTCAGCCACCCAACACGCTTTGACATGCGGCTTGAGCTACGCTGTCGACTATTGCATATATCATGGCAGCAGTGTGCATGCCATCCTTGCTAGACACTAGCGGCTGATAGTAGTTGCCAGGATTTGATAGGATTTCGCACAGCTCCTGCGACCGAAGGGAGGGCATTTGCACCAGCAGCCGGATTCTTTTGCCATTGTGTTCAGTGTACGCAATAACGAGGCAGATGCTGGAGATGGAGGGTGATGGCAATTGCCAGTGACTTGCGTGCAATCCAGCACTGGCCCAGAACGGTGCAATTCGGTATGCATGAGACACTGATGGCGTCTCAGGTTTCGCTCCATGGCCTTTAACTTGTTTGGAAGCCAGGCGCAGGCGGCCAGTTATGGTGTGAAGCGTGAGTGCCGGAGATCCCTGAAGGACTACCACGCCTCGCCCCGACAGGCTGCGGTGAAGCACATGAAGCCGCTGGGCTCAACAAGGCTTAAGAAGTCTTGCTCATGGTATCTGCGCAGCATAGTTCGACTTGCCTCATGAGATCACGCAACGGAGGAAGCACTCGGACTTCTTCGGCGTCTTTTTTGAGACTGGGGTCTCTTGCACTGCAAATCGCCGAGCCTTTTCCAGGGTGGCCACGGTCCATTCGGCACGGTTTGCAATGAACTTGATGTCGTGGCGGCTCTTGCACGGTTCGGTTCGACGGTTCCCGCGATTCGTTATTGGCTTTATTGATGAAACCTAAACTTACCCGATTCTTTGCTCTTGGGCTGTGCTGGGCTGGGCTGGACTGGCTGAGCGGGCTGGGCAATGGGCTGGGCCGGGCTGCCGATCATTGCGGAGTGCTCCGCTGAAAAAACAAGAAAAAGCAAGACAGGAAGAGCAAGAAGGGGAATAATGAAAGAGAAACATGAACAAAGACAAGAAAGTAAAGAGCGACAGAGAAACGGAAGAAACAACAACAATCGCAAGACCGGCCAGAATAATCATCTGAAGAAGGACAGCAGAAACAGTGAGGATTATGGAATCAGTAAGAAAAAGTCATTTCAACAAGTACGAACCTTCGAAGGGATTGTTCGATCTTCAGTGTGGACTTCCGATGTAGCTTTCAATTTTATGGATTTCGTACGATTTGAAATACCAAGTAGGTAGCAGTATTGATTTTCCATCAAGTCTCTGAGAAGGAAAAAGAGTAATGCAGAAAGAAAAAGAAGAACAGGTCTTGTTTGTGCCCGACCCGTGCTTCCCCAACCCAGAGTTTTCAGGCCCTCAAACCGATTGTTTTCCTTCACCGGGGCTGGGCTGCGCTGGGCTGGGCTGGCTGGGCTGTCCTCCTGCTTTTCCTCGTCTCCAAGAGAGATCCAGGCCGAGTTCTCGCGATACTTGCAGAACATGGCCCGCAACGGGACCTGGGGCGACGAGCTCACGCTTCGAGCCGTTGTGGAAGCTTACGGCTGTGTAGCTCACGTCCTTTGGCCCGGTTGGTGTGCTATTTTCGAGCGGAGGAGTTTTCTGTGGTGCATCTGGTGAATTAGCTCAGCCTGCTGAGGTCGTCACTTCTGAACCGACAAACTGGTGACTGATCAGCAAGTGCGGGTACAGCTCTGTGCTGAGTGCAAGACAGCTTCCTATAGTGGTGTCATTTTTAGTGTAGAGGACCGGATGCACCGATTCCGCAAGTTTGAATATACATAGAGTGTTGCACATATGGCATTCCCGTCGAAGCTCAGGCATTTGGTCTACGAGCCCGAAGGTTTGGATCCGCCAGATCTAAACATTGCCATTTGCCCGAAGGGCGTGGGAATGCCAAAAAGCAGGACAACATCCTAAGCTGTCCACGAGTTGTGTCACAAGCACTTGATGGCACTCCTAGCCATGCATTGATGGACATGAATGGCAATTGAGAACAACGCAGCCTGGAGGAAGCGAATTTTCCTGTCATATATCTCGCGCCTTGGCCATTACTTGGAGCATCTGCTTTCACGCATGGCTTCTTGTAGGGGTTCACCGGCCTCGCCACTTTGGATAGCTGAGGCCCATCCACTACAACGCCATCATCTCGCGCGCTTTGTTTACATAAGGAGCGCGCAGAAATAGAGTGTTGCAGCGGCATGCACACGAGGGGTGGTACCGCTGCAAGCCGAGGTCCAGGGTCTTGATGGCCGAATCTGCTTCCTCCTTCGAGTTGTTCGTGCATGACGAGTTTCTGCGTGAACACGACCGGGGCTTCCGTTGGTTGGTAACAGAAGTTGCCAATTCTGTCGGGTTGTACAGAGCTCGGATGGAAGCAGCACCAGTCACCACGATGTTTGTTCTTTGAAGACCCAGGGTCCCACAGGCACGTTGCATCCTTTCGTTGCGTTGATACGTCGGGTCCCTTCTCAGTTGCAGAAGCCGGCTGTGGGCCAAAGAGATGCATTGCTCTCGCAAGCTGGTGCACAGTCTGGGTTGTTCTGAGCTCTGTTGCATTGCATGAAGACAGAGACTGCCGAGGTTTGAGGGCTGGGCCAACGCCAAAACGGTCGGCCCGGCGGCTCTTTCGAAAAGCTGCGGACTTAGACAGCCCCTCCTTGCTCTCCGGGAGCCTGAGGTCCCCGAACTACGATCTTTGACTGGTTGCTGTTGGAGTGAAGATCTCTGTGAGAAAGACTAGGCTCTCGAAGGCTCCATGGCTGCCATGGCTGCCATGGCCATGGTGCCTTGAAGCCTGAACCCACGACCTCAAATGCCAGAAACCCTCGACAATTGACCCCAAATCCCGAACTGTAGAGAGTAAGGATCCTCTTTCTTGGTTCCCCAGCAAAGGTCTCGGTGCACAAGGCGGCGGCGTCGGCCGACTAAATCATGGCGTCGAGCTCTTAAGCCGGATATCGGAGGCGGCCGGGGAAGCCCAAAACTTCACAGAGCAGATGTGAATAAATAGATAAACAGATACGCACACTTTATATCAACAACAACCCGTCCTCACTCAGAGAGACCGGGTGATTGATCTTCCAATGCCGCAGGTGCAATATTTTACACAACCCAGTGCAGGTGCAAACAGTGTAGCAGTACTGGAAATCGCAGTTCTCAACAATTTTCAGAGGCTAGTTCACGATATCAGGAGCCACATCTATACATATGTATACGTATATATACATATATATATATATAGATATGTGTGTGTGTATAGAAAATTATATATATATATATGTATAGATACATATATATATATATATATGGTTACCATATATCTATATATATATATATATATCTGTATTTGTATATATCTCTGTACACATGCTACCCCTGCGTTCTCCACCGTTTATAGGTGGAAATGGACCGAGTGACCGATTTCGCGCGCCGCGATCCATGCCTGCTCCCGCCTCTCGCACCTGCTCTATATACAGATCTTGAAAGTAATCCGTCGCTGTTAGCATGAATACGTTGAATAGGTACGAAACCATTGAAAAGGACCCTAATTAACCCTTCATGTGTACAAGCCGCCAAGCGAACACTGAAGGACCGAACCTAGAATGGAGGAACAACAACGCCACCCAAACCCTCGTTTTTAAAGGATAAAATAGAAACTCAAGGACAAAGTAGGAACTCCGTTCGAATTACAATTTCGAAGCCTTCCAAAGAAGGTGATGGGTTCCTCAGGAATAAATGAAGCCTTGACAACAAACCCTCTAGAAGGTAATACGTCTTCCTTAATTGAAAAGGGTCATGTCCTGGTTGCTCCTAACGCGGATCCCATGATTTAGGGGATGTCGAATCGGGCGCTTCGTAATCAGGCTCGAGATTCTGCATAAACGGATTTTTGTACCCTATGTTGGAACGTTTTCCATGTCTGAAAATGCCAAACCACGGGTATAGAATAGTTTCATTCAGTGACTCACAACGTTCAACGAGGATGTAAACCATTGAATACATGGTTACATATAGCAAGCGGGTGTTTGTAGAAATCAAAAAGGCAACTAAACATTTTGGAACAGGGTTGGGATATCCCCAGCGGGTATTTAAATTGATCTGACGGCTAGTTAGATGACGTAGTCGTATCGTTTTATGGCGCAATATCTACATTGTTTGGGAAATCTGCGGTCGTCAAGTTCAAAAGTTTTGAAGCTGTCTAGTTGCTTTGAATACGTTACCTAAGCTCTCCCAAAGGACTGAAATATTTCGACACGTTATTTTGATAGGCCGAACAGGTTCAGACCATGTGCATCTGCATCTAGTTAACCTCTTTCGATTACTTAGGTAAGGATTCGTATTGATTGATACAGCCGGCTATTTTATGAAACGCTGAGAGGTATGTCTCGGTGACATCCTTTAGAATGGCAGAGAAACAATTTGCTCCGAAGAGACATTCTGATAGTCTAGAGGTGGCATTTGACAATTTAGACAGGCCTTTCAATAACTGACAAAGGTCTTTAACCAGATAATTTAGGGTGTAGGGTTCCAACCAACACAAAACCGGAACAAGCTACTTTGGACGGGTTTATGGGACTTGTTTAGACTGGGATTCCAAACTCAATAAATGGTCGACAGCGCTGCGGCGGCTGGAGTTTCAAGCCGAGTCACCGATACTGAAGGTTGAAGATTTCAGAGAGAGTTTTGCGGGAATCTTCGATTGCGGGGCGGGTGGCTTGAAATGGCTTGGACCGGCTTGAGTTTCAAGTTGGATCATCGAGGATCCAGTGAAGATTGATGGCTTGAATGGTTCGAATAGGCTTGAGTTTCTAGCCGATCCATTGCAAATTAAAGATTCCTGTCAAAACATTCTTGGTGATCTTCAATCTTCGGCGGATAGGCTTCAAGCTCAAGACGTTTCAAGCCGGCTGGATTTGCGTGAAAGAGTCTTTCCCGGCTTGAGTTTCAAGCTGAGCCCGCGTAAATTGAAGTTGTATGATGGTAGCGACCGAAAGGAGAGGATTCACAGCAAAAGGGGCGAGACAACAGCAGCAGCACGGATTCGTATTGGAAGCGATGGCAGGGGAAGGATTCGCAGGAATTGCAGCAAAGAGGTGGATAACAGGAGGGAGGACCACATACAAATATAAATACACAAATAAACACATAAATAAATTAATAAATGAATAAATGAATAAATGAATAAATGAATAAATGAATAAATAAATAAATTAATAAACGAATAAATGAATAGATGTAAGTATATATATATATATATATGGTCACCCACCCAAGATCCACAAACGCTGCTTCCAGACGACTGCACGGGTCCCTGCCTTGGTACACGAATCAGACATTCCGAAAGCACCGTAAATGCCGATACAATCGTGCCTTTCGCCATGTGCATGCAAACCGTGCTGCTATATGTCGCGGGCTTGATCCGTCTCTGAATCTGGGGCCGAATCTCGGCCCTAATGATAGTTTATGCGTTGGAGAGGTCGCAACTGCTGGAGGGTGTGGTAAGCTTGTTTAAGTGGCAATAAACAACAACAGAAAGCCTAGTTTGTTTTGCATTTTACAGCGTTTTTGTGTGTCCTATTTATCAGCAGTCCTCTGATAAGAAAAGCGCTATATTCTCTCTTACGAATATGTCTGCGTGCGTGAGCCATCTCTTTCCCGCTGCGCCTGAAGCGTCTGATTGTGCGTTTGCCTGATGGGGCCTAGTGGCTCTAGGGTTTGGCTCACGAATCACGAATGAGAAAAGTGGTAGAGCTCCTTTCATCTCCTTTCCATTATGAACGAAGGAAGCCGAATACACGAGCGCGTTAATTATTGAGTCCCAACTGCAATAGCTGCGCATTGCACTCCTCTGTGAGTCTTTCATTTGCATATGAGGGCGAGCAAGACGGCGCCTCGGCAGCGGAAGTAAGACAGCTACTTCAATTTTCCAAACATGAAGCAGGACTAAATACGGCTGGCTCTCTGTATACGTGTCAGTCAGAAGGCAGGGGCTCCTTGTCCTTGTAAAACAAAGCAAGATGGCACTTTATCAAGAGAGCTCCTCTGTATCTTGTGACACGTTCTATGACAGCTATTACAAAACCCTCTGCATGGCGATCGTCATCTGTTTCTGAGGAAACAAGACGAAGTAAAATAAAACAATTTGGGAAACTCCTCATACGTATCAAGCAAGAGTACTGCAAACTCTTGCAGTTGCCAAAACAAAACAAAAGATGGCACCGTTATTCTTTGACGAGTGAAGAGAGCTCCTGTCATGTTGTGTTGCGAACTATGACAGCCCGACTGCCATAGGCAGAGAGATCGGTATCTTTCTGTCAGGATATGACGGAGGTGGCTTCCATTAGACTTGATAGAAGTTTCAGGCCCCTTGTCCGATTAGTAAAAGGTACCAGTAAACAAGCCTTTGTTTTTGCCGTTGATTAGATCTAGGGAGTGTCGCTTGAAGATTGAAGAGAGGTCCTCTGTATTTTATCTTAGGGTCTATGACAGCTATTAGTAGCGAAACAGCCATGGACATAGCGATCGGTATCTTTTTCCAGGGTATGAGACACAGCATCAATAAGAGTTAATGAATGAAATCTCCTGTTGCATAGCAAGGAGCATAGGAAGTCTCCATTGTCCTTTAATGATCGCAAATTTTGAACAGGTTCTGTATGAATTGAAACAAGACCAAAATGGGCCTTCTTCATGCTTATCAAGCAACAGTAGCGAAAACTCCAGCACATAAGATAGCACTTCACCAGTCCTTGATAGCTGATGAACACCTCCTGTTTATCTTGTGATGCAGTGTTTCCTGTCCTGGACATCACGAAACGCTGTAATGCTCAACAAATTCCAAAATTTCCAACCCTGATACAAACGAAACAAAGTAATGCTCACAATTTGGAACTTCCAAAGTCCTGCCATCTATGGTTCGCAGGGTAGCGAACATGTAAACATTTAGGATCTGTGTTAACATTACAGTGTTTCGGGGCCTGAACTTCACAAAACACTTATTGCTCAAAACATTCCAAGATTTCCAACTTCAAAAATCACGAAAGTGCAATGCTCAAAACAATCGAACATTTTTGGTGAATCTGGGACCGCCATGGCCATAGATGCCAGTTTTTTTTTCTGCATTGCAATGTTTCGTGAGTTTTGAGACTGCAAATGTTGGAATGTCTTTGAGCATTACAGTGTTTCGCGGCCCTAACTTCCCAAAACACGGTAAGGCTCAAACAATTCCAAAATTTTAATCATCCCAAATTTCGTTATATTTTGAGATTGGGAATTTTGTTGGAGTTTTTGAGCATTACAGTGTTTCGTGGCCGGAACCTCGCAAAAAGCACTGTAATGCTCAAAATGTTACCAAAATTGCAACCCCTAAAACTCACGAAGCACTGTAATGACGTAAAGTTCCTTACCATCTCGCCGAACTTGGCTTGGATACTAGCCCAGGAAGTTGCAAATCCTGATTACTTGTACCTATCATTCTGACAATCCATGCTTTCCAGCTGAAGCCCGTACTACGTCTTGAATTCGACAACAACCTCGTCGAAACCCTGTTGCAATGTGATAAATACTTGCCTTGCTGCCGTCGATGCATTTTTGTATTTCATGCCTGTGATTGCTCTCTAGCCCTAAAACTCTTGTCCTTTGTAGACCAATTTACTGGCAAATGCGCCTTTGGTCATTAGTCTGGTTCAGTCATGCCCTGCGGCGAACTAGATTCTAGAACTGAGACTTTTCGATATCTGTACTGTGATGCCGCAATCCTTTCAGAGTGTCTGTTTTTCTAAGCATTGCTATGGAGTTTTGTCTACATACAGCTCTCAATAGCATATCCCTGCGCCGTATGTTATTTCTTTTGAATGCCGGTATATCCGGTACATGCGGGCATTTGGGTGTTGCATTCCATAGTTCTGTATAATGACAGTCCCATGCTAAATTTAAAAACTTGCATACTACATGCATAGTGTTTCCCTGTGGGACAATGTGCATACAGTGTCGCTTCTTACGCTGGACATTGTTTCTATATATAACGAGTGACGAACCCTGTGCTTCCTGTGTCAGCATACAGGAACTATCACGTAGAGCCGACTGCGAACCATAAAGCCTCATGTAGCTTGTCCGTGTTGCGAGAGCATAAGCAATCTGTAAGATGCAAAATGCTGCTTGTCCTTACAATAAGTTCATATCAGCCTTATTTCGTGCATGTTCTGTCGACTTTGCTAGTCCCGTGCCCTGCCACATTTATGTTTGTGTTCTTGTGAGAATCTACTGGAGCCGTATTAGAACCCATGGTCCCAGTCCAGAACGTGATTCCTCGAGTTAGAAAAAAGTGGTAAAACACACCGCCTCACTCCTCGAAAGAGAGTTCATTGTTCATCCCATGTAATGGGAAATAGTGTTGCTAGGAGTTTTCTACGTACCAGGCCAGGAAACCTAAAAGTTTGTACGCTGCAAATATTGTTTGGTCACGACACAGAGTTTTATCAGTCTTGTCTCATCGGAATTCTGCTTCCTTGGAATGAGGTTCGGACATGCCGTTAAAACCAATTCGTCTATGTACCACGTGATGAAACCTAGCAAAGTTGTAAACAACAGAGAATGTCTCCTGATACAAGGAGGCCTTGTCAGTCGCATCTCAATTTTCTATGTAGCTTGATATTCCGTTGATACACCTACTGAGCTAGTGTAACCCCGATAGAATGCACGTCATGTTCCACCCTATGTTTCTTGGGTGAATGGCATGTAAGCGGTTATTCGCTTAATATGTACATAGATTGCCTTTTCTCTTGTAAATGTACTGGCCTTTCCGCTAAAGTCGCGGGATTCTGCATATGGTACCGGGAATGTGCAAATTCTGACCACAACACTGCATCATTGATCAAAAACCGAATTAATGCCAGATTCCTAGGACCACCTATTCTCCTAGTCCTTGCTTAGCTTCATTGCAGTTTCAGTCTTCCTGAATCGTTCAAACAATCGAAATTTTGGATTTAAGTGTTGATAAAGTACGGATGATACAAAGATTCGCAACACATGTTTATTTTTCGAACCATCGAACATTCAGTTTACCAACATGACGGGTAGTGCCCGAAACCATTAAACCGACAGACAGTTTTTGACCATTTCACCAGTCGGTTTGATCGCGGTTTGGTACACAACCCATCCTTCATGTCACCAGTTCACCTGTTGCTGAGCTGGGTCTTACGAGGTGAGGAGGACCAATCTTATGGGGTGATCACGCACCCGGGACCAGTTCACCATTTCACAAACTCCCCATTTTACCAATCAGTTTGGCCCTATGTCTAAACCCATTAACCGTTTGACCATTCCGCCAATAGTTTGGCGCTATGTCTAAACCTACGAACCTTTCACAATTTGACCAATTGGTTTGGCCCTAACCCATACACCATTTCACCATTTCACCAATTAGTTTGGTCCTATTCCTAAACCCATAATCCATTTCACAATTTCACCAGTTAGTTTGGCCCTACCCCATTAAACCGTTTGTCACAGCGTACACTGTAGTGTTATCGTATCCCATCATACCATATCTTGTCTAGGCACATGATGTTTGTGTCTACTCTTCTCCATTACGTTCTGTCGCAATACGCTGTATCAGGTCATATCATACTGTATAATGAATATTGTAGAGGAGCCTCTCGAGGCATGGGCTCTCTGGGGGAAGGGGCTTCACTGCATCAGATGTTAATTTCATGTTTGTGGCGAGCTCTTGTCTTGCGGAAATGTGCTATGTTTTCTACATCTTCTCAGATTGTATTCCGTTTCTTCGAACTCTCCCATTCGACCAGGGCATGCCGCCCTATGTCCTAGAGGACGTTTGCAAGACTTGGCTGTCTCGAGTATGTGACGAACATGCAGCCTTCGTTTGCATCCGGCTGTGAAAGGACTCACGAGGGTTTGCCTTGAGTTGCGTGGTGCCAAACAGATTGGTCGGCGGCATCATTGGCAGGCCTGGCGATCGGTCAACACACTACCACAGATGTGTGACTGTTGAGCACGTAACCCTTGCAATGCGATGCATGGCAGGGGTGGCAGTGGGACCAAGGAGCTGGGATATCGTGCCGAAAGTCTATATGTCCATGTGTTCGAAAGGGTACAGGATTGGATTCTGTAGGTGGTACATGCGAGCAGAACAGAGTGCAAGTCTCCGCAGACTTGAGCCGCAGCGCAAGGATACTGTCCTTTTCCAAAGTTGCAACATGTGCAGTGTATGGGCTCGTTCGCTTGAGCTTCGAGTTTCACCTGAACTAAGCGAGCCCTTCTTGCTCCTGATACTTTTTGGGCTTTACACTCCGTGTATAGTTTTTACGGATCAGTCAAGTGCTTTCAAACCGCGGTTTCAAAGAGGTGGGGCGAGAGGGGTGATACTATCAGGCTTGAATGTTAACCATGTGTAGTGCATCCATGCAAGCATGGCCCGCTTGTGTGCGATGTTGAGATCGTGAGTGCCATGGAGCTCGAAGTCACCATCGTCAGCGCCAAAGGTTTGCGCAACGCGGATACTGGATGGTTCGATGGCAAGTCTGACCCGTACTGCATTTGTGGCTTGTTCTTATTCCAGCTGCTGGGTAGCGCTCCTGACTTGTGCTGTGAAGTCTGCAACCGCTGGAAGCTCAAGGTAGAATCGCTGGACTTCCATCGCACACAGACAGGCCTGGGCCTGGCTATTTGCGTGCATTGGCGACCCGTGAGAGATAATGCTGGTCAGGAAAGCAGCTTAGTGTTGGGATGCTGACAGGACTCGTTTCCAGACGAGGGTCGTGAAGGACTGTCTCGACCCAAGATGGCAAGAGACCTCCACCATTCGACTGGAGCCTTGCCTTTGCAATGCGTGTTGGAATCACTCAAAGCAAGTGGCAGCCTGCTGCCTTCCTGCTGTCCAAGGCATCGCAAATGCAGTACCTGGAGTTTGAGATCTGGGATCAGGATGTCGGGTCTTCGGAATTTCTCGGCAAGGCCGTTCTCAATCCAAGAAGGTGCCGGGGCTGCGCAGAGTGGCGTGCAGCCTCTGCCCTGAAGAACCCACTCTGTCCTGTCTCTCAGAATTCCTGGGAGGGTTCCGTTGGAGAAGGGCTACGAGGGTGACCTGAAGCTCACCGGAGCTAAAGCAACAGGCGGGGCGAGAGACGAGTTCTCTACGCTGCGAGAAGGGAAAACACGACTGCGATCTCCTTCACAAGCCAGGAAGTCTTCGTGTGAGAGTCGTGGTGCAGAAAGCTGGCTCTCACGACGTCTCCGTGTCGGAGTTCTGCTGCTGTTGCAGGTGGCAAAGTCATAGTCACGTAGTCAATCATCAAGACTCGTCATGCAACAGTTGGTTTCTTTGCTCTCCGACCAGGACATAGTGCGGCGCTCCTCGCAAGTCCGAGGGCAGGCTTAGGTTTCGTTTCCGCCGAGACTATTCCGCGTGCAGAAATAAGTCGGCCTGCATGCTGCCAGCTCCTGAGCCAGATCATACGATTCCTGCAGGAGGTGCAGCAACTGACTAACACAAAAATTGGGATCCGCGATATCCCCGGAGACACCGAGAATCGATCTCTGAATATTGCAGGCACCTGGAACTGCTGTCTTGAGTCGGAAAGGTCTCTGTCCTGCTTTTCCTGTGCAGGCCCCTTGCCGAACGCATGTGCCGCGTACATGCTGATGATGAAGAGGCCGGGGTTTCCGGGGCCTGGCCTTGCTTGGGCGAGCGAAGAGGGGCAGTTGTCGCAGGTACTTGGACTCCGAGGCGCAGGCGCAGTAGCCAGCAACTTACGGGCGAGGCAGCCGGTGGCCGTGCACATGGCAATGCCAGGCTCCTGGAGGCTACACCAGCTGAGGATCCCCTGCTCACACTTGGAGTTGGTCACCTCTCGAAACTCTGCAACTCCGGGCCAGGCTCACGAAGTGCCGAAGCTGATCTGATCGCGAATTATAGGCGCACACATGACACGACCCGTGGGCCTCGCCGCTACGGCAGTGGCCGAGCCAAAACGTGTGCAGATCTTTTAGAGACTCTTGGCGATTCCTCTTCTGCACCCGCCTCTTCAAGCCGAAGAACCGCAGCGATTTCGAGACGAGCCGAGATCTAGGGTATCGGCACTTCTGTCCGCCGACTGGTTTTCACGAGCTTTGTAGGTGCTGTCACTAGCTCACTATAGCTCACCTGCTCGAACAAGCCGTCGTCTAGGTCTTTTGCCATCCCAAGCCGCTGGCGACTCAAGTCCTTGCGGCGGCGTGGTTTCGCTTGGGCGCAATGCTGTGCCATGGAGCTTCCACATTTCCTGGATTCTGTTTGGGAGGGCGGCCAGCCTTCCGTGATCGAGTGTATCGCGCATCGAGCTCACGGACCCAGAGCCCGTGGCAAGGGTTCAGGGCCCCTGGGCTGGAGAAGTTCCTCGTGCCGGCCGTCCTCTTCGGATCTTTTACTCGCCAAAGGACGAGAATCCAAGCAAAGAGTTCCGGACCGTCGGCTCACTACATTAACAAAAACCTTAGAGTCACGAATGTTGGGCCCAAGGGACTGGGTGTGGTGGCTACTGCACCTCTTGCGAGAGGGGAGCTGTTGCTAGAGGAGGCTCCCCTGCTGGTGTTTCAACACCAGTCGTTTGAAGTCATCTTTGGTGATCTCCAGGATGTGCTGGTGGACGACCGAACCTTTGATCTGTGGGAAACCAGCCTGACTGAAACGGTAGAATCTCAATGTGGTCCTGAGAATACTGCGAAGTTCTGGGAGCTTGCAGACACTTGCAGTGCGCCGGGTGACAAGACAGCCCTTGGAATTGCGCGTACCAACGCACTGGGCCTTGACGCAGATTCTGCTGGACTGTTTCTCTTCCTCTCGAGGTTCAATCACAGCTGCGAGCCGAACGTCCATCACAGCTGGCAAGAGGATCGCGGAATGAAGGTCCTGAGGGCTTCTTGCAGCATCGCCGCAAACGAGGAGCTTTGCATTTCGTACCTGTCCCTGCTGGCGCTCTGTGCACCCACCCGTGAACGTCTCGGCGAAATAAGTGATCGATTCGGTTTCGATTGTGCGTGTCGTGCATGCTCTGCAGGTGCCAGGCGGATGCGCGACAGCGACTGGCGCAGAGAGCGCTTGTCGCAGCTTTGTACGGCCCTCTCCCAAGAGGAAAGTAGGGACAATGGCATGGGTCGGGCTGATGAAATTCGTTTGCATCTGCGTAAACGAATCCCTTTGTTCTTCGAAGTTGATGAGGAGGGTCGGCAAGAGTTAGAGTCCAGTCTCCAACGTCAAAGTGGCCTGGAGAAAGAGTCCTTCGAAGGGGTCGTGGAGAGCATCGATATGAGTACTGGCCTTCGAGAGGCAGTGGCCTTGTTGGATGAGGAGTTGCATGGACATCCCGCCGCCCGGGCGCTTTTGTTCTTCGGGGCCTTCCGGAGAGCGGAGGCCGCACGTCGGCTTTCGGCTGCAAAGAGTCTGGCCAAAGCGGCTTGGAATGCGACGTCGACCGCCGAGGGATCCACCTCTTGGAGGGCCCAATGGCTGCAGGTCGAGAGTGAACGACTGGAGCAGCTGGAACAGAAGCTGGAACAGAGGAAGAAGAAGGAGGAGAACCAACAGGGAGCAGCAAACGACCAGCAAAAAGCCTGCGAGATCGGATGCATTTGGCCTTTGAGATCTGTCTTGTGCAGTCCGCCCGGCCACCACGCAGCGTTCTAGGCCGAAGCATACATGGTCTGAGGCCCGATTGACCTCAAACCGAGCTTTCCCTCAACGGTCCGAACAGCAGCCCTTAAACTGAGTGGGATTTGGGATTTAGACACGTCAATACTAGTTTCTGCCGCCGCAGCGCTGTCAGAATGGAGCACTGGTCAGATCCAGCTTGGGGCCCAGCTCGTGGAGGACCCAAGGTGTGAGAGGGAGCTTCGAAGAAGATCGCAGCCGAGGCCATGGTCAGGTCCCAGCCCCAGCGGCCCCAGCGGCCCTAGCGGCCGTAGCTCCGCTCGCATAAATCTGTCGGCCTGTCGCGAAGTGTGGAGCAGGGTGGGCGTCAACTTGGGCTCAGCGCAGGCGACCATGGCCACTCGGTTTTCTTCTGCCCCTCTTTGCGAGATTCTGCCAGGGCATCCCAGCTACGAAGCTGCTGACAACGCTCCACGAGGTTTGGGGATGCGCAACTCAGTGTGCTGTAGCGTCCCGGCACATCGGACTGCTTCGGCCAGGTGCTTGCGAGATCTCTCAACCTGATGAGGCACCGCAAACTCTGCGACCTCGTTGCCTCACTGCTTTCATTTGTCGACATGTGGAAGGCTCGCGCTTGTGGCAGCGCCAGCTCTGGTCCAGTGCAGAGCTCTTATCGGTGTATGCCGGTAGGGGGTTTTGTGGCAAGTAGACCCCCGAAGATCCAGAAGCTAGGCTGTTCCCTGAAAGATGCAAGAGGATGGTCGCACTTTCAGCAAGTCTGAAGGATATTACTGTAGGTTTGTCGACTTCTCTCTTCTCGTGCTTGCAGGCACGGCCTAGGCTGCGTCCCTCTGCTTGCGAGGTTTTTTCATTCACAGCGTGGACTTTGTAAGCTGGCGCAGGGCCGAAACTTGCTGCGTACAGCGATTCTGAGAGATGTCTCCGCACAGCAGCCCGAGGTTGTCGAAGCTGGTGCTTGTCTATGCTTTGATGGGTGCCGTTTGGTGCCGTCATCCATTGCTCCGCTGTTGACCGGGTTTAGCCTATGCCGTTGGCTATTCAGTCCTGGCCAGTTTCATCGTCATGCCGGATCAGCTCTACAACGGGCCTCCATGGCATGTTTTTTCGTTCGGCTGCCCTGGCCAGCTCTCCCTGAAGCAGAGATTCCGGAGCCAGGATGGGCATGGGCATGTTTCGGTGGGCCTTTGAGATTTTCTACCCGGAGGCGCATCGCATTTTGCAGATGTTGGTCTCTTCAAGGGACCGGTTGTCGCATGTCCTGTCATGTCTGACATCCCACACGATGCAAGTCCAGAAGCCCGCTGTGTAGAGAGAGGATGCCTTTTCAAGCGGAACACCTCGAAGGGAAAGGCTACAAACTGGGCCAGTGACAGGGTTCCGACCATGTCGGACCTTCGAGCACCCAACGCAAGAAGGACGCGAGCTGTGACACGGGACGCCGTTCAACTTTCCTCCGCCTGCTCGTCTTGGGTCGTTCAGTTGAGCATGTGCTTGCGGTCTCGAAAGTCGGAAAGGCGGACGTTGTGCAAAGCACTGAGTCACTGAACGTGTCCGGAAGAGCAGCTTCGGGCTAAAGCCAGACGAACGCGAGCTTCAACAGTCCGCAGACGCTGGGGCGGGAAAGAGTGGCCTTTGCCCGTCAGATTGCCCGATCCAACGGCAGCCTGCACGATCCGGCCGAGACGACCGTCGCTTCCATCGCGGGCAAGAGGCCAGGCCAGGGATGCTGAAAGCACCGCTTGTTGGCGGCTTTTTGACTTCGGACTCGGAGGATTGGTCAGCTGGCAGGAACGCGGGCGAAGCTGAGGCGCGGCGAGGGATGTCATTCGCAACATGCCGCACTAGGCCCTGGGCCTCGGCGTTTTGGCCCTTCCACCCGACAGGTGGCACGGCTCGAACAGGTACCTTTGCTTGACCCACGACGCCAGAATCTGAGGGAGCTTCCCGGAGAGCCCTCTTTTGGGGCTGCATCCGGACTAGTCGTAGCTGACCAGCTGGTGACTCTGAGTGCCAGCAGGGCTGGACCGTCACCGGAGACGAGAAGCACTCATGCTCAGTCGAGTTCCACAACGCACCATCCTTGGCAGAGCTTCGCATGGGAATGTCCACAAATCTTTCCAGTTGACAGGTGTACTGGAAAGATAGGTTGGTTCCTGACACGTGCCTTGCCTGACAGAGAGCAGATTACAGCAGATGCAATTGCAGACACGACAAGAGTTGTTGAGGTACACTCTCCGGATACTTGCTCCTACATCTGATTTCCACGAGTGTTGGCTTTCCTTCAAGGTGAGGGGCTAGGCTGAAGCATGGAAGCATCACGGAAGCGTACTCGGCTGTGCAGCCCGTGAACCATCTTCGCTTCGGTGGTTGGCTGGCCGCCTACCCAAGCGAGCAGAAGGCTTGTCCCTACAAGGCTTCGATCTTGCGCGGTTCTTCCAATCACGAGAACATGCGCCGAAAAGCGCAACATGCAGGTTGTCCGCGACAGCTCCTGTCCGGCTGATGCTTGTAAGCTACTGTGCGCTTTGAGCTTAGCATGTGCCGATGCAACAAGTATATAGGTCAGGAGGACGCTATCGATTGCCAGCCTTTCTTCGTGCAGGCTTGGACCAACATGTTACCTCCCTCGCAGAGGTCTTGCACAGGCCCTGCCGCCTGTCCACTGAAGTAGTGACCGAGTGTGTTGAATTCATGCAATCTTGCAGCGAGCCTTCGTACGTGCCGGCATGCCGATTGAGCAACGCTCGAAGATGCCTGATATCCACATGTAAGTCCGAGCGAGCTTTGGCATGCCAACCGTGTTTTGTGAGAGGACAGGGGAGGGGAGATTCCCTTGCCTCCGGGCTCCAGTCATCTTTGGTAGCTTCCTGGTGATGTGTTGCAGAGAGCAGTACCTCATGCAACATAGCCAGTGCAGCATATGCGACAGGCTTCTATGTCGGAGAGCAGCGCTGCAGAGATCATGTGCACTAAGCTTGGCCGTGCAGTACAATCTCCAGCATACTTGCGGTTTATGTCTTGAGGGGGCCGTTGTAAGCTTCAACAAAGTTCCTCACGGCACCTAACATGTTTGCAAAGGTACCTTGGACACGCAGCGGACAGAGATGCCGCTGCACTCGACCTTGTCTGGGCCTCGGCAGGTGGAGTTCTTCGCATGGGACTATCGCCGCTTTTTGTTAAGGAGTTTGAGTGATCAAGCGCAGCGTCTCAGTCTTGCAGCTTGCGCTCAAAAGAGAGTGAAGCCACTTTGCTGGAGTTGTGTGTCGAAGCTCTGCGCGGTCACAGTCATGTCTCGAATGTGCAGCAGTGTTTGGCTTGGGAATGGTTCTGCTCCTCCAATGAAGCTCTGCTGTTGGCAGCTGTTCTTGGCCGCGGCCGTGGCAACCTTGGCTGACCTGAATGCTAGCCGCTAGCCCATCTTGCATTGTCTGGACATGGCCGAGGTCGCAGGCGCAGTGACGTCAGAAACCAGATCCAGCCCGCTTGCAGGAGGCCCAGGATCGGATTGATCGGATTACCCATGTCACAGTGTTCAGTATCCAGCCCGCAGAGCATGAGGCTCATTGTATCACAAAGACAAACAGCCGTCACTCTAGTTCACCGAAATCGGTTCAGGGCTAAAAGGAGTCCAGTCACTTCGGTGCTCAGCGTCCCCGCCCCGCGCGATCTCTCAGTGAGCCATGGCGCGGAAGGTGCCTCGGACGGGACCCGCTCGAGCAGTGCCACTGAGCCGCTCATCCCTGCAGGTCGGCTTTGGATCCAAGAAGCCACGCTCCACCGCAAAGCGGGAAGCGCAGAAGGCTCCAACTGCAACCTGGCTGCACCCAGATACGGGTCGCACATGCAGAAGAAATTCTCACGACATGCTGGCAAGGTTCGGATGCTGCACGGGCCCCTTTCTGTACTTGGCGGACAGCTGCGGGAAGTTGCTTCCGCGGGGTCTCAGGCCCAAAGCCAAGAGAGACTACATCATCGATGACCGGCCCTCACAGCGAAGCAAGCGTCCCTCCCTCAAAAGGCTCTCTGGGAAAGTCGCGGGTGCTGATGCCGTGGAGCCCCGCCGGAGCTGCCCAGGCAAGAAGGTCCGCTCCAGCTCTCTGACGAAGGCGCCGCTCGAAGCCGACTCCAGTCACGTGGCTGGAGCTCTCGAATTTCTGTAAGGGGAAGTACGAAGCCATTCCCGGCACACGGGTTCAGCCAGCTGCAGGCCGGGGCTGTTGCGATGCAGAGCCTTGTTTGCAACAGCACCGGAAACTTTCGCCAGGCGGGAAGCACGCGCGAGTTGTCATCCAGGCAGGGCTTCTGACGCCATGCCTGTGCGTCACCAGCGCTTCGGAGGATGGCAGGACTTTTGACCCCAAAAACGTCCGGGCAGCGAGGCTCTGCGCTTCGTGTGAGATCAAGGGACCCCTGGAAATCCTGGTGGCATCTGGTGGCTGAGGCGGCATTTGAAGCAGCTGGCCAGCCGGCCGAGTTGCTCTTGCTGGAGGCAGTTGCCTTTGCTGCTTGTCCAATTTCTGCCAGGCATCGGAAGCGGAGGAGCTTGCCCGCATCCACGGCACCAAGGCAACCACCAGGGCTGCTAGGGGAGAATTGCATGATGAAAGGCTTCTGCAAATGACCGTGCCTGCAGGACAAGGAATCGCTGGCCAAGTCAGCAGCCGAAATATCAGCCAAAGCAGCTGACTACAAGGGCAGGCTTGGACCTGGTTAGAGAGAAACCGAGCCTTGGCCGTATCTCCGGAGGTTGGCTGTCAAGGCAAAGCAGAAGCTCATCAACAAGAAGCGCAAACGCAAGGCCGCGAGCTTCTGGCATGGGTTTTTCAGTACTCGTCAGTGCTTTCGCCAGCTTAAGTGCTTCTACATATAGTCCTTTCTCAGATGATCGGCCCGAGTGAGTGACAAGCTAGCTCTCGCCGTTATTCCTACAGTTTGTCACCTGCGGACACGTTATCGCACCGAAGTTGTTGCAACCCCCACGAAGAGACACTGCAGTCTATGGCAACTAGGTAACTAGGCTATAATCGGACCGAGCCCGGGCGCCAAGTGCCTTAGGCTTCATGGTACCCGCCGGAGCGATGAATACCAGACGATTCGCCAATCCCTACGGGGTGCTGGAGTCTCCACAAGCGTCCCCGTGCCTTTCCTATGCCGGCTCCCCGCTGGCTTCGCCACTGCAGGGATTTGCCCTCAGTCCGGTTCATGTTGCCGAATTACCACCTGCATCACCAAGCATTCAGAGCCTTCCGCACTGCAGCAACCTGGCCAATCCAAGCACAGGAGCCATTCACCCAGGCGGAAGCGTCTTCGACCTGATACCGTTGCAAGTGTCCCATGTTGCCCGTCCAGACCTTCCGAGTGCACAGCCGGAGGGTCCATTGGCTAGGCAAACCTCCGGCCGGTCTGGGCCTGGCTGCGGCTCTCCACAATTTGTGGCAGCGCAGCCCCGGCCGGTGCCACCGCCACTAACCCTGGGTTACGCCATGGGGCCCACGCTATCTTCCCCAGCGGCCCCTGGATCTCCTTCCTGGACAACGGTGACGACTCGCCGCAAACAGACGCTGGAACCCAAGCCAGTTGTGGCCAAGCCAGTACCCGCGCCGCAACTTCAGAGGATGAACACCACGGGGGATGCAGCAGATCTCTACTATGCCCAGAAGGAGGCTTTTGTAAGGGGCTGGACGCACGATGCCAAGCACACCCGAAGCGTCAAGCAGAAGAAGCGCGTGGATTATCAGGTAGAGAAGAGGCGGCAACAAAGTGAACGCGACAGAGCAGCCATGGCGGCTGACTACGGCGACTCAGACCACGACTGAGCCTTGCTGAAGCGCATGGCTGTGCTTGCGGCGAAGACAAAGCTCGCCTGTTCCACGGTAGAAGTCTTTCTAATTCAGGCGTTTCGTTGAAGTGCCAGAAAATCGGTTCTGGCACCTTTGACATCGTCGCTTTGCAAGTCAGGGATGTCCGGCTTGGTCCAGGCTGTAACCAAGGAGCTGGCTCACTTCATGCTTTTTGTACCACCACAGGAAGAACAGTCGAGCATCCTGCAGCATGGTGCGAGAAGCTCACGCTGCTCCAGTGTATCTGCTTTGTCAGAAGGGTAAGACTTCGACCTCCTCTGCATTTCTGGCGCAAATGCGCATTGCTGTAAGTGTGTTTCGAAAAAGGCGCTGTGTGCTGCCGTGGTCAAAGCTTCATTCCCTTTCTAGCCGTGTTCAGTTCCAGATGGCAGGTGGCGTCCCTGCGCCCACCAGAAAACACAGTTGGTACTGATGCATAGCGCGTGTGCAAAAGATCGCTGACCGAGCATGACGTGTTGGGATTTCTGCGGCAACTCTCCATGTTCATTGCTGTCTGGGGAGAGTGTCCAAAAAATATTCAAGGTCCCGGGGCCGGCGCCGGCTCCAGCCGCGGCCCCCGCAGCGGCACCGGCGCCCCTGACGGTGACTCCGCGGTGACATGCGGTGCTTTGATCTTTGGCGGCGACGCTGGCGGAATTTGGAGCGGAGGCCGCCGATGTGGCACCGGAGCTCGAGAAGTCGCTGTTGCGGGCCAAGAAGCCTGCGGCTTATCGGGGGAGTTCGCATTTTTAGGGGCGGAAGGCCTTCTGGAACTCCTGAGGTATGCAGATGCTTCAGAAGCATGGGCAGTTGCTGCCCAGGAAGCTGCCAAGGTTCCCTTGAAGAGATCTTCAGCGCTAGACGCCTTTCAAAACTGCATCGAGGCCTTCAAGCCAAAGGAGAAGAAGCTGAAATGAGCGAGCCTGTCTCAGAGCTGCCACCTACGACGTGACGTGACAATTGCCTCAGAAGGGCCAGCTGATGCATTCGTAAGTCGGTTAGCTTCGACTTCATTCTCATGAACTCTGCTCTGAACTCGGTTCTGACACCAGCGCCGATTGCCGTCTCACCTGTGGCGTGATCGAACTAGCAATGCCGCATCAAAAGCTGAAGCCTTCAAGGCCAAGGGTTTGGCTTGCATTTGATCGTTTGCCATCCTCTGCGGTTGGAGGTTGCGCTGTTGTTTGGTTTCGTTTAGGGTTGGAAAGTATTCAGTGTGGGATGTGAAGGTAGAGATTGAGAACGCAGTGTCTACCAACCGGACAGCAGGTTGGCAGGCTTGAAGAGACTTTGCTTGCGCAACTCTTCTTGTAAGGAACACATGCGGCAAGGCTTTGTTTTTTTGAACATGTTGAAACCAGTGCTTAGATTGAGTTGGGGAATAGTGGTGGGGCAATGCGGGGCAAACGCAGTATTTGCCACTCAAGGCAGACAGCGACAGATCTGCAGTTCACTCATGTTCCGTGCTGCAATGCTCGTCAATGTGCAGATGTGCAGCCAGTTTCGTGTGTACCTTCGTGCTTGAAGCTGTCATGCTGTTGAGAAAGTCCTATGAAAAGCCGACACTCGCCTGCAAGTGTCCTGCTGCTTCTAAGGAGCTGTTGCTTTGGAAATATGGGCGCTGGCGTGAATCGCTTGCACCTCGAGGCACACAGTCGGAGATCAGATGGAAGTAACAAGTCGGTCTGCTGCTGTCTCTTAGTTTACGGAATCTTATGCTTCTGGTACATGGTCCATGTTGTTGGGTTTGGCGACTCTGCACTTGCCCTTGCAGGAAGCTCAGGCTCAATTCGGTTTGCCCGCGAGCCGATCGTCAGGATCCAAGGCCACGGTAAACATGCGAAATCTTTGTCAAGAGCAGTGGGCGCTACCGTGCGGGTCACGGTCAGGCTGCGAGCTTTGCAAGTTCATCCCACAAGAACACCCCGACCCCGACAGCAGCTGGCCTCGGTCTGGGCTTCGTCGGGTTGTAGAGGACTTAGCGATGCACACGTTCGCGCCCGTCAAGGCTGTGAAGCCGAATTCCTTAAACAATCCTGGAGCTGGGCAAAGCGAACCAGGTCCGCTGTTCTTGAAATGTGTGTTTCACATGTGGCCGAAACGTGCCCAGGCGCGTTTGGCGACAGCAGGACCGATCGCTGGCTTAACGAGGCAGGGAATGCTCGTACACATGGGCCAAAAGGGGGCCCTGAATTCGGATACGCTTTCGACTTCGAGTTCTCCACTGGGAAGGTGAAGTCTGCAGGTCGGATAAAGCGAACGGTGAACGCCTCGAATGCCTCGAATGCCTCGGCCTGCGCCTTCCCTGACTTGGTGTCGTCGCCAAGGTCACTTTCCCAGTTGGTGACTGGTTCCTGGGTGTTGGAGATGGGGGCATCGGCAGGGACAAGGTGTGCGGAGTGTATAGCTCGAACACTGGCTCGAAGCTTGTCTGACTCTGTGCTTTCAGAGTGTGGCGAGGATAATCCTGCAGGTGGCGCACTCATCATGAAAGGCCGGGTTGTCTCCAAGACTCGCCTGGACCTCCGCCATTGCCACACTGGGTCAGGTTCGTTGTCGGACTTTGACGAGGATGACCGTCCTCCCCAGGCCACAAACCGAGATTCGCGATTTTGCCAGCAACTTGTCACCCTCTCCTGCGCCCAGTGGGAGACCATGACCTCCGCCACGCAAGACCAGGCCCTGCCCCCTCGCCTTGTTGCGGGTTGCCTTCTTCGAAAGATCGCATCGTCAGGATGAAGCTGCATTCCTTGGAGAAGGCCAGCGGATGTACTGCGTGGAGCTGCGTAGTGACGTAGTGGGGTAACCCCAGCAGACACCACGGAAGCTGACTTCCGGACAGCTCACTTCTGGCCTTTCAGTTGCAGGTGTCTCCCAGACAAAGGCCTGCAGCAACCATCGCTCTGTGTTTCTTGTGGGATCCTGCTGTGAGTTGCTATGCAGTTTCGGAGGTAGACAGGAAGGACGACAAGAAGGACCGCAAGTCCTTGTGTGGCTGACGGCTATGGGGTGTGGCTCGATTGGGCTCAGCTGTACCAGCTTAAGGCAGAGCCAAGCGCTCTGGAAAGCGAGAGGAAGAAGAGCAATAGAAGAGCACAAGGAAGAGCCAGACACAGTAGAAGTAGCAATGGTAATGAATAGAATTGTAAGAGGAGGCTGATACAGACAACCGGAAGACAGTCTGGATAGGGCACAGCAGCTGCAACCGGTCAGTGCGGTATGACCGGCAACCACGCTCACTTGCGACCACGATCCAGCTGTCCCTCAACCCTGCTATTACGGCCGGTGAGTAACTACATAAGTTCGCAGCACTTTGCTGTGTTTGTAGGGCTTGCCGAGACGCGCAGCAGCTCCGAAGAGGAAGAGCATAACGACGACAAGCCCATGTCGATGCGGACTCGAACTGGAGCTACATGAAGAAACCGCAAAATGAAGAGGATCAGCAAAGCAGAGATGAGAAGAGCGAGGATTCGAGACAGGAATCCGAAGTTAGGCTAGTCCGAGATTCAAGGGAGGGCCGGCCGGGTGACGAAGCGGTGGACACCGGGCGCATGGGCAGATGGGGAAGGGTGCGACGCAGCGGGGTTCGATGAGCACAAGTCGAAACCGAACCAACTCGCGAGCAAAGTTAAGCAAGAGGGAGGACGGGTGACCAAATGCAAAGAGCATCAAAGAGCATCAAAGAGCGCTTTGCTTGCAGGCCATGTTGGGGAGCCTTGGCTTGGACCCATCAAGTGACGAGCCCCTTGCCCAGAGCATGATCCAAATCATCAGTAGGCATACTGTGGGCCTTTGACTGAAATTTCTGAGCAGTATTTGACAACCTTACTTCTGGACTTTCTAGGCATTCTCCGTCCGGAAGCAGTGGTCGCTTTCTTGTTGCGCCACAGCGAAGGTTTAAGCAGTCGCGCGAGCCTCCGTCGCTGGCTGAGACCGCTTTTCCTCTCAGCTCGTCCCATCAGCTCGACTCTGTTTGCCGACCACTGGTGGCGGTGACCAAGCATAGGCCCGGTGGCTGGACCAACAATGCAAGAGCCGGTGATGGGGCCTCAGCTGGTGGTCTTGTTTGAGACTTGAGCATCTTTGGGGTTGTTTAGATCAACTTTCCAAAGCGCTGCAGACCAAAAGCGTTGACAAGCAAGACATGTTGAAGCATCATCGTGACTCTTGCGGGAATGCAAACTCGTTCGCGTTCAAGCTTCCAAAGCCGCAAGGTGCAGCCATTGCCAGAGAGAGGTTATGGAGGAGAACTTCAGCTCCTGGAAGACCACAGGTGAGCTTGACGGCATTTCAGCCAGGGCAGCACTTCTTTTGCCAGGTCGCAGACTCTGACTTTCAGTGACCTGACAGCTGCTGGGCTTCATTGGCGTAGTCTTGTTGTCGTTGCCGCCGCATGTTTAGCAACAAGCGCAGCTAGTGGATGCTAGTGGCCGAGGACAGTTCACGCTTCACCTGTCAGCAAAATGCAGCTTGGATGCAATTGGGGGGGCGGGGCCAAAGCTTCAGAGTGCCACTGTAGGATCCGCGCAAAGCAGCCCACATTGGGCTGACATCGAGCAGTAGAGCACACACATAGTCATATGTACAAAGAACTAAGTATAAAAAATAATATTAATAGCGAAAAATAATTGTATATGTATATATACATATGTATACAGACATGCACATACATACATATGTCCTACCTACCTACCTACCTACCTACCTACCTACCTACCTACCTACATACATGATCATACATGCACTCACAGACACATGCATCTATCTGTATGTATATGTATATACAGATGCACATAGGTACCCACACAAAAAGTACATATCTATATGTAAACATATACTGATACATATAATTTTGCACATACATATACATGTACATGTACATGTACATATATGTACATATTATATATATATGTATATAGATGTATACACACACACATATATATATATATATGTATATGTAGATGCATACACATATGTGTGTGTGTATGCATGTGCATATATATAAATATAAATAAATAAATATAAATATATATATATATATATATATATAGATTTAATTATATGTATAGACATACGGGTACATGCATGTACAACTGTACGTACACACGCAAAAGTATATACATATATATGCATACGTATCCATCTGTATAGAATAAACGGGTAGGTAGTAGGTAGGTAGGCAGGTAAGGTAGGTAGGTAGGTAGGTAGGTAGATAGATAGATGTCGTTCGCACGGACGCTCATCGCTCTCCGACACTCTTTCTCTGTCTCTATGTGCATGTATACACGTGAGTGGGTCCATATAGCTCACACGCCCCAAGACCTACCGCGGGAGAGTTTTCAGGTCAATCGAAACCCAAGTGTATGTAACACGCTAAACACGTATCTGGAGAAGCTTTCAATGACTCAAAGTGATCAGAGACTGCAAAAGCAGCCTCCTAGTACTTGATTACGCATTGCCAAAATGTCTAAGATGACATGATCCTCGGCCGAAAGCTTCTCGCTAGCAATACAGAAAGCTGCAATTTCGGCCCAAACGCCCAACATGAAGTACTCCTCTGCCCCAAAGCCTCTTCTGCATGTGGTCAGAGTTCACAACCGCAATGATTTGTTACACCCCAAAATGCCCAGTACAAATATTCCTCGGCTCCGCTTCTTGTCTAAAACATTCCCCTGCCTGTATGTTATGTCTCTATGTGGTAAACGTCGCACAGCCCCGCATAGAACAGGCTTTGGAAATATACAATGTGATTACAGGCTTAACAGCTATGCGAATGAAAATGAGTATGAATATGAATATGAATATAAGTTTGAGTGCGAACATGTGTATGAAATATGAATATAACTATCAAGGTGTCTCTAAGTATACATATCGGCATGAAGTGGCAGAAGTGGTGTTGTGTCTATGCATGCATAGACGCACGCAGTAAGTTGTTTTTATGTTGGTTGGTTCGTTTGCTTGCTTGCTTGTTTGTTTGTTGCTTTATTGGTTTACTTGTTCGTTTTTGGTTTAATTTGCTCGTGTACTTGTTGGGGTTATTTGGTTTCAAAGCATACCTAGAAGCAAAACGTATAGACCCATAGCATATTCCACAGTCGACATGGTTAGGTACATGCATTCATACATACAAACGTACATGCATGCATGTATGAAATTTGAAGAAACAAGCTCTAGAATTATGCAAACATGCGAGATGGGTTGCTAGATGTGGCAATCATGGGACACCTAAAGAAGCATGTACGTAGAAGTACGAATACGACATGAAGTCATTTAACTTATAGTGATCCACATAGACAAACACGGACGGACATGTAAATGTGCACGCGTGCACAGAGAAACAGGCAACACTACACAACAGTATGTGCAGGTATTTTCATACTGTTTATACAATACCGAAACAAATATAAGCAGAAGCCAAAAGAAAGGTAGCTACAGTACATACAAGTAAAAGACAAAGAAGTTAAGATAAACAAGCAACATATGTACACATATGGATACAGTTTAATTGTAGATATAAACAAACTATATACAATACATAAATAACTAAAAATGTATATATATATATATATATATACACATGCAGAATTTGTATATACGTATATACCTGTATATATGACTGTTTAAGTGCAGATACAAGTAACTACATACACGCATGCATACACATACATACATATGCACGTACAGGCAGACATACATGCATACATACATACATGCATACATACATATGTACATACATACATACATACATACATACATACATACATACATACATACATACATACACACGCATACACACATGCATGCATCCACACGTACATTTATGCACACACCTAAGTACGTACACATGCATGCATGCATACATGCACACACAGACACGCACATGCATACATACATACATACATACATACATACCTACATACATACACGTATATACATATAGACACGTACACACCATACTCATGTATATATATATATATATATATATAGATGTAGGAAACAAAGATCTTCCTCGGAAGGCCTGGGGTCCTGGTCCCGGCGGGCCGGCACCGGCTCCAACGCTCAAGGGCTACCCCCATCCACAGCGCCTCAGCTTTGATGCGATCGTTCGGAGAGTTTGCTGGATTCGTTGTAGCTGCTTCTGGGATTCTTTTCCGCCGTTTTTGGTGGATGCATCCTCTTGTCAGAGCTGTATCAGGTTGGAGCTTGATCATCCAGAGGGCTTCGCCTGCGACCTAGAGGACCTAGTGCTCGCAGTTGAGAGCCGTGGGTGCAAGAAACGGGCGAAATGCTGTCCTGCTGCTCGAGCGCTTCTGAATTGGTGCTTTCATGTGCCTTCCGGCCAGCTAGTTAAGGTGCATGTCCATCTGGAAGACAAGTCTGCCGATGTCTCAGTCGTGCAAGTCGGGTCCGTGTTTCACCCGAGTAAATGCGAAACACTCAGGCCGGCCCTACTCCGCATGTCCTCTGGGATGCTGCCTACGATATGGGTGGGACCGAGGCCGGACCAGGACCCTCGAAGTGTGTGCGGACTGCGGACTTCGTGCCAGGTCTTGAAAGCGGCCGCGGCAGCTGCAGTCTTGGTATCCAACCTCCCACCTCCCATGCACATCTTCAAGAAGCTTCACATGAGGCCATGTGGGGGCAGCGGCCCAACATGGAGCTCATTTGTCCGCCGAAGAATGGGCCTCCACATTGGTTGCAGCCTAAGTCTGCAAGCCATGCCACAGCCTGCCACGGGTTCCGGGCAAGGTTCGAGTTGACACTTTCCCGCGAGTCCAACGCTGCGGCCTCGAAGCGCATCGAAGCCCCTAACGCATAGCCGACTCTGCTCAAGTTGTGCAGGTCAGGAGGCGCCCCTACATGCCGCGTGCTCAGACATCGGCACCCATGATGGCCCGGTGCGGCCGTCTAGGAAGGTCATGTTGCCAGGAGATCAGCAGCTCCGATAGAGAGTGGGTTTCGAAGGCCGTCGGCTTGTCGTTTGCTCTGTCCTCCCCCTGTTTCCGCAGTGGACCCGTTTGCCGGGTGTTGTGAGTGGTAGAGCGCGGCAAGAAGGAGCATGTGCATCTAAGCGGCAGTGCCGTCTTGTCTTCAGAGTCCAAATTTGTCAAGCACAGGAGAGCGTTACCCGAATGCACAGACTTACACGTAGCCGAAGCGGACAGCAGGCAAGCCCACGTATGCGCACATGCAGACACGAGAGGCTTTACATTGCTTGCAGGGCTGTTTCGCGTTTCAGTTGCTAAAGATACTGCTCTCCGAAGAAAGATGGATTGCACAAGCATTCCCCGTTGCCTGCTTGGTTGTTAAGCCTCCTTTTTCGCCACGGCCTCACACCCTTCCGCTTTGCATCTCCTGGATCCTGTCTCGCAGTTTTAAAACATCCCGCTTGATGCATGTTCTGGACTGCGCAAGTCTATGACATCTTCAGAAGCATTGTCGGAACATGACTCCTCATGAACTTGGACTTTCGTTGAACTTTCGAGGATGCAAGACTTCATCGCGTCGCAAGTTATCTCGGCGTACAGGACCCTTTGCGTTTTGCTTCGGGGCCTTCGTGAATCGTGTGGCGCAGCAGGCCTGATCACGACCCCCAGCTGGATGCGTTCTCGCTGGTGCATGGCCTGGCATGTGGGGAATCTGTGGATCATCTTCTTGAGCACTCAAATCTCGATTGTGAGCCTGCTGGATCCGAGGCCATGGATTGAGGAACCTCTGCCAGCGCTAGCCTGATTGCAAGCTCCACCAAAGCAGCGGCAGAGGTGACAAAAAGATGCAGTTGTGAATGCGCCGGCCCAGAGAGTCAACAGGTGTGTAGGCGTCTGTACACCCCGTCTACCCCTGCATGTTTTCTCGTTAGCTTTCAATACAAGGGTTTGTTAACTAAGGCTCAACAGAACTATTTGCTGCATCGGCAGTCGATTATTCGCAAGTTGCAACCAACCTTTTCTCGCTCTGATGCATGTGCAAATCCGCCTCAAATATTGAGCACATCCAATCCCGTGCAAGCCTTTACTCAATGCAACTCGGCTACATACTTCAGGGAGTACGTAATTTTAATGCTACCCCGCCCGCCTCGGCTTGCCGGAGAGCAGCACTGTGACACAACCCGGTAATGCTCAGTTACGCTGATAGGCGAAAGAGGAGTGTAGGGTGGGAGGGGGGGGGTGTTTCAGGAACAGGCTGTCCGTAACCGGTACTGGAAACAGGAACCAGGCCTGAGACCGTAACAAAAACCTTCTCATTCCGTAATACGTTAAGCGCAGCAAATGGTACCGAGTCCGGCGGACCCTTCTGTCCGAGGACCGCTTTTCGGTCCTTGAGTTCTAGGGATTCAGACCTCTCCATCTTGTCGAAAGCTAGACATTCCCTTATTATTCGGCTAGCCATGACCTTGTCAATTGCAGAATCAGACTTTATCGATGAAGGCTGCTGTGGACATGGAAGCTTCTAGCCCTGCATGACATTTGCCTTCAAGCAGCGGCACTAGCTTTTGCCGTTCGCCATTGCCACCGGTGCTGGCAGCGCGGGGGTTTAGGGCTTAGGGCCTAGGGGTATAGGGCTTCCGGGCGACGAGGCAAGCCCGCTGCAAATCGGGACGTCACAACTGGCTAAGGTCCCACGAGTTTTTTTGACCAAGGTATGGAAGTGCAGTCATGAGAGCTGAACCTCGGTATGCGCAGACCTTCATTCGATTGCACAAGTCCTGATGCAAAAAGCGAGTTCACCTTCCTGACATACAAATACCCACCAGTGAAGCAAAATGAAACTATTCGCAACGAGTTCAATCATGCATCACGTTGAACCTATGAAACTACTGCAAATGCACATGCTCTCACGACTATCAGGCAGCTTCTGCCTGCATGTGACAAGCACGCATAAGATTGCTTGTGTATACCCGCTCAGTACCGCAACACCACATGCCTGTGTGGGTATGTGCCCCAATGCATCGATATCTTTATTTGTCTCTTATCTACTTCAGGCCTGCCAGTGGGGGACCGGTTGTCGGTCCGCGACTGTGCGAACATAAAAGCTTCCTGCCCGCGCCTTGCTGGTTTCTGTTGGCAGCTCCCGTTCTTGTCGTGTTCCTGTTACGCCCGGCGCCCCGGCCGTTACCACAACCGTGGGTTTCGGTCACAGTGTGCGGGAGCGGTTTCCGTTACTCCCAAAACCACTTCCCGTTACTCCCCGCACTCGGAGGGAAGTGGGGAGGGGCGAAGGGAGGGGATGCCCCCAAATAACCCCTTTCGATGGAGGGATGTGGAGACTTGCCCTTGCGCGTGGATATCCACTTTCAGCGAGAGCTTGTCTTGAAGCCGCTTGAGACAGAAACGGTATGCGCAAGTGTTATGCCATTGCTGAAGGTGCATGACATGACTGTAAGTCCTCACCGCCAGGGCTCCGGGGGCATCTAGGATTGCAGTGAGCAGTGGGGAGGGGGGGAGGTAGGGAAGAAGGCAGAAAACTGAGAAAGGGAGGGGGGGGAAGGGCAAAACCGGGGCGGGGGGTCGAAATTGTGGGCCAAAAACGCATGGGAGGAGAGGGCGCTGAGTTAACCCCGCAGACGCCTGAGGCCTGTCTCCTCGGCGGATGTTGTGCGGGGGGGCAGTGCGTGTCGGGCCAGAGGAATTTCTTCCATGCCGCCGGCCCACCCCGCGGCAAAGTACCATCCTGCACCTGTGTTCTCCTTTGCTGAGGACCTAAAGACGACGCTCAGCTTACTTGCAGGGGTCCCCCATTATGTCGGTCAGCTGCTTCCAAACCATTAGAACACGATTCCCCGACTTGTTGCAGAGAGAGTCATTGCAAAGCCTGAGGACATGCAAGATGCAAGCATTGATGAAGCTAGCTGGGACGCAGGATGTAATCGAAATCTGCCTGTGATGCCAACCCGTTCCAAAGATTGTCACGGCAAGTTGCTGTGTGGTTAGCGGGTTCAATATGAAGATTGCCTTCGGCGCTTGCTTCCGTGGCCGTGTTCAATCACATTTCCTTTATGTTGCTTGCGAAGAAGCCTGCGTGATGAAGTAGCCTACCAAGTTCACTTCAAGTGTGCGCAGCCTCAGACACGAAACCCCTTTTTGCCGAAGTCCCCCCACAAGGAACCCACCAGCTGCAAGTAGGACTCCTTGACATTGTCTCGCTTCGCGCAATGGTCTCTCCTGTGGAAGTCTCGAGCTGTCCCCCGCATGGAGGGGACCTTTGCTCCAAAGAATGTGAGCCTCCAGAAGGACGGGACGGCTTACGGACAGCGTCATCAACGGCTTCCAGGAAACGTGTTCTCCGGCCAGGTGACTGCAAAATGCAGGATGCTTCCACCGCCGAAGGTCCCCAATGCAATGTCCGTGTCCTGTTCCCGTTGGGCCTCTCCCTGCACGTGGGCAGGTGAAGCCGAAGCCGATTCGGAGACACCCAATCCGCTGCCGCCGGAGGCCTGCTCCGGAGAGCACCGGGGGGGCCCGTGACTGTGTGCTTTGACGTGAGATGCCAGGCTGACGCCAAGAAGGCCGAGGGAAATACAGCTTTCCAGGCCGATGAGACCATACGCCCCGAGTGATTTGATGTGCTGAGCGAGACACCTGCAAGGCAAAGCAGTTCGAGGTGGCAGCACGCCTGTATGCTGAGGCCATCGCCATAGCGGAGGCTCAGCACGGCGACCCTCCCTCCGTGTAGTCTCCATGTTGGCACAACAAAGTCTGGACTGCAGGAGAGTAGTCGAAGCAGACTGGGGTCTGGGGATGCATCGCCGGAAGTGTCGGCCTGGGGTGGGGCGCCAGCGCTTCGGCCAAAGAGAGCTCTGCCGTTCTCGGGTTTTAGGGCTAGCGGCTAACGCATCTTTAGCGTGGCATAAGGCTTGCTCATGAGCGCAAGTCGGCGTCGTTGCTACCAGAACCAGCTTTGGCCTTTTCGGAGCCATGTGCCAACACGGAAAGTTCGGAAGCGTTTTTCTGGCAGCAGCTTAGATGAAGCTGTGGAATGAATCCAGTCCTGGCACATGTTTCCACGCTTGAAGCTTTTGAGCGCGTATTCGCCTCATCCAGTGGCAGACCCTTTCCGAAAGGCTGCTGGCGCTGATGTCCCTGGCGTCTACTACTCGATGCTTGGCTGCAGCAGGTGTCCACAGCTCCCAAGTGATCCGATGGGGTTTGGGCGACGGACTGGAGATCGCGAGCAGCAAGCTCTCACTTGGCACTGTGTGTTCGCAAGTGTGTCCCTCCAGGCATGGATTATCCTTACGACCGCAATCGTTTTCGATATCGTGGCATGGTGAGCTTAGGAATCGAGCGGTTTGCCTGGCGTCTTTGCAAGACTGGGCCGCAGTCACGGCTTTTCGCGCATTGCGCATTTTCTGGGATGGCTGGGCGGCCGTGCTGCGCATCTGTCGTCACCGAGGAAGGCACTCGGAATGATGCCGCGAAGGCTCCCGATGTCGTTGGTGCAGCGTGGACGCCGTTGTGCCGAAATTTTGGAGAGCAGGCGCTTGCGCGAGTGACAGATCTGTCTGCAGCCGCCATGAAGAAGGCAGGGGCCAGCTTTCAAGTCCTCGAGAGGATGCATCAGTCGCAGCGTTTCGAGGCTCTTTTCCAGAAGGCCCGGGCAGAGCTCCGGCTTCAGCTGCAGGCCGAATGCCAGGCGCAGCACAGCGCACAGAGAGAGTGGCGCGCATTGCATTGCATTGCGTCGGCAGGCGACCCTCAGCCTCGCGGAGCAGCTGGGGGTTCGCACCGAGGCCTGGGATGCGGGGCCAAAGAGGGATGCGGGCAGATGCGGGCAGATGTCATGTGAAGGTCGAGCGCCTCCTCAATGCGTTGGAATCTCGGTCCTCTGTTGCTCTCGGTGGTCAAGGAAAGCTCTGCCGAGGCAAACTGAGTCGGCACCTGCAGCGCCTGCGGCCTCTATGGAAGCACAGCAGGCCATGCCAAAGCGCATAAAGCGCTTCATGGGACAGCCGGAAGAAGTTCCGACTGAGCCAGGCTGCAGCCCCTCCTGCACCAGTTGCGGAGGTTAGACTGCCCAGCTGAGCTTCAGCCGTGCTGCTTTGTCTCTGATGCAACATGGTGCAAGAGCTAGGCCCTGCGAGCAAAGGAGGCTGGGACGGCACAGTGCTCCCGCCCTGCGAAGGAGAGCACTTTGCCGTGCCTCCCGTTTCATTGGAAAAGGTACAAGGAGGGGAACTACCGTGGTGCGCTGACGGAGTACCGCAGGGCGCTGGACGGGGCGGGCTCCTGTCCACTTACGAGTCATCGGCAGTGGAGCTGCAGCACATATCTTCAAAAACGTGGTCGGTGCATCAACTTCAGGACTTGGTTGACCAAGATGCTGGACTACGTGCGCAGTTGTTGGGCAACGTTGCTGCAGCGTGCTTCCGTCGGATTGGTTCTTTTGCTATCAGGCTGAGTGAAAGTAGATGGTGGAGTTTACTGTTCTTCGAACAGGTGCCTCATGCTCAAGCGAACCAGCGAATGTGTGGACGCTTGCAAAGAATGTCTCGTCCAAGTCTCACTTTGCCGCAAGAGCTGTTTGCAGCCTTGCGCCTCGGGCCCACGGTCGCCTGAGGCCCTCGACCCCTCCAATGCGAAGGTGCGTGCCCGTCTTGCCTCGGCGCAGGCCCAGAATCTTTGAGTAATGGAAAATCGCGCAGCCCAGCAAGAGCCCAGCAAGACGAGCGCCCTCGTCGGGCCGGGCTTCTCTGCAGGTCGCGACCGGTGACTTCGAGGCGGCTCGAGCCACGTTGGGCACTGCGCGAGCCTCTGTGGAGAACATGCTGCACTCGCAAACATGGCAAGCGCATAAGTGGGCATGCCGACCCTTGCTCTTTGTCTCCAGGAGATCTTTGTGTAGTCACGGGCCTTCTGGCTCGCGAAGGGTTGACTGTGCATGACAAGCAACACGCGGGTTGAGTTTCGGACAGAGGCCGGGAACGACCCGGTGTTGGCCAATGCGTTCAAGCAAATAGGCAAGCCTTCTACGTGATGCGTGTTTGCACAGTCTGCAATGGAGCGGGCGAGTTTTGTGCAGGCAGTACCCAATCGACTCTTGCGGAGGCGGACCAGGCAGTCCTGACAAGTCCAGACTGGACTGAAAGGTAGACTGGGACTGGGCTCATCGCCGTCTAGAAGCAGAGGTGCTCCGAGTCAGAACCTTTGCAATGCATTGAAAGGCTCTCTCAAGTGGCGAGCCCGCAAAGGCATTGGCCACTCTGCACGCCTCCAAATGGTCAAATGGGAAGTCACCGGCCCCCAGGCTCTGAACATTTATGCCAACCTGGAGTCCTCGGACGCCTCCTCGGATAGCCGTGCCCAGACATGCGGAACTCACTTCGGCCACATTTTTCAGGTTCTTTTTGATTTTCCACCGTTGACCCTGAAGATGGCGCAGTGCTACCTAGACTCTCGGATGCACTGCTACACCCTTTGCTATGGACCTGTTCACCTGAGAGACATTGTTGTCCAGTCCCCTTGCCGCCTGACTCAATGCAGAAGTGGGTCTACAAAAAGCAAAGCCCGGCAGGGCGGTGAGTTGAGACCAGCACAGAGTTCAGAGTTCAGGGTATTGGCATCTCTAGATGGCTGTTTGAGGTTTCTGTCGTGAAGGCACGCGCGCATGTGACGATTACAGTCGATGATCCGTCGATGATGGCCTGGTGTCTGCATGACACAAATTGCTGTTCCGGGACTGCCAGGTTGCCAGATCGATTGCGCGAGTCGACAAACTCAGATCTTCGGGCTTTCTCCCAAAATCGCACTTGTCTCCAATCATGGAAAACTGGAGAAGGTTTCAGAGAGCCTCGGACGGGCATCGAACAGACGAGCATTTGTGTGGTAAACGAAGGATCTCTCAGTCCCAAAGTGAGGCTGCGGGTCGATGTGCAGGGCTTGCTCTCGTTGGTCTTGTCTTTGCTTCTCTCCACCCTTGTGCACCCAGGAGCTAAAGCAGTATCCTCGAGTTCTGCGCCGCTGGCATGTGAGTCATGTGAGTGTGCTTGCATGTTGTAGATAGTGCTCTGATATGCTTTCAGGAATTGTCGACTGCCATGCCAGGAACACGACGCAGCAAATCCTGCGGACGAATCCGCGAAACACGGGTGCCTTGGTCCTCCGAACGCAGGCTGGACGCGTTTCAGCATTCTCTTCACGCAGCTTGTCATCGGACGCATGCCACTTTGCTCTTCACCGAACAGACGTCCCTGTGCTGGATCCTGTACCTCAGAAAGCACATTCACACTCATGATCCGCTTGAAGAAGCTGAGCAGGACTCCAAATCTCTGGATTTCGAAGACCAACAATAAGTGCACAGCTTGCATTGAACTCCCTGCACACCTTCAGACCAAGAACGCATCAAGAGGCATCAAGCATCAGCACACTGAAGCTTGTAGGGCTTTGTATTGTGTCGTCGTCTCTGCGGCCAGCTTGAGCAAGCCATGTTTTAACATCTCTCCCGTGCCAATGTGTGCCGCTGTGCTTCATTATGAAGCAGCCCTTGCTCTACCGCAGCGAGGAAAGCCAGGCATCTTTCCGGTGTCAGCGAGCGGTTTCCCTCATTGACCCAAGCTCCGCGCACGGACCTGAGCATTCTTTTAGCTGTTTACATGCATGCTGATCAGCAGTTCTGGATGCGCCAGTGCATTGCGCTCAGGGTCAAGGTGCACCAAAAATGCAAGAAGTGCGAGTCAGCGATGCCTGGCTCAACCTTTAGACCTTTGGTCGTCCAGTGGCTCGGGTGGGGTTATGCCGGCGGCTGGCACTCGTGAGGCAGTTCGCTTCCATCACGAGCGTGGGCCTCTGCGAGGAATGCCTGGCTCTCAGACGATGTGAAAGATACGAAGCAGAGCTCTGAGGTGTTGTTTAAGCGTGGCCAGATCAGGCTCCAAGTCTATGCCGCAACAATGCGCGTGTTGAAGCCTGGCCGACATTGGCGGACAATTGGAAGAATGGACGGACAGCAGGTTGAAGCAACAGTATGTAATAATACATATTACAAATCCAAGACGAGCAACTGCCAGACTAGTGAAAGTACATTTACATCGTGAACCCATGACACTCTAGCAACGGCTGTGGACATTCCCGAATTCGTAGCCAAGGGTTCTTGCTTGATGGGGTTTCGCATCTGCCTTCTCTGCCAAGCAAGCATTTGCGGATGTTGGGTGGCCGTATTGGCCGTATTGTCGCGGATAGCCTCTTGGGATCGTAGCCGCAGCCTCCCCCCACGCTGGTCGGGCGCGGCCCTCGCCTCGCTGGTTTGTGATGCTAGAAATATGGTGAGCGATGCTATGACCATGGGAGAGGCGGGAGGCATCGGTACAGGAATACTGGATATCGCGGGCTTCGTATCAGGTAGAGCCAAACTGCGCAACCAGAAATATCGCGGATCTGGCCTGTGTGACAGATGTTACACCAGGTTGCCGCAACTCTGCAGCAATGGATAGAGTGGAAGCTCGGGACTCTTTCCGCACGGCATCAGGCATTAATTACACTGTACATGCTAGGATATGCTAGGGGCTTGGGTTCACCGCTGTTGCGCTGCTAGGTCATCTCGGATTGCATGGTCCGGTCATATTTGCGATCCCGTGAAACAGTGAGTGGCGCTTGTTTCCTAGGCAATGCAAGGGCTGTGCAAGGAGATTGAAGATGCTACTCGGCTGTTTGATGAGGCATTTCGGGAAGGAGCATCTGCTGTATGTTCGGCGGTTTGAAGTTTGTGAAAGGACGGAGATGAAATTCAAAACTGGCCTGTGCCACTCGGACTGCAAGGTTTTCCGAATCAAGACGAGGTCAACTACAGGCCGGATTACAGTCGAACATGGGCAGGTGATGACTGCTGGGCTTCCTGCAAGAAGGCGTGTTTGATGTGTGGTTCGAGGCTTTGCTGCACTTCAGCCTGGTTCGTTCTGGCACATGCCATGAGAAGCCTTACTTGCGATACTAGTGCTTCCATGTCTTGCAGCTGTCATTTGCAAGGACGATCTCTCTGGGTGAGTGGCTTCTCCTAATTCATGTCTTGCTTCTTAAGCCACTAGCAGCGTCTCGTGGTCACCGAGAAGAGTGAAGGTCTGGCTGGAAGACCGCCATGTGCAAAGAATGCTCGAGCGGCCAGGAGGCCCCGGCCCGCAATGCCTTGCTGTCTGCAACTTCGGAGTGATTCTGGTTCGTCTGGTTTGCATTCGGCCCGCCGTGCTTGCTACTCCCTGCCTTACGGCTGCGGAAGGTGAAGTGCAAAAAGTGCAACCAAGACGCAGCGAGTGCCATTCTAGATCTGTGATCCTTTAACACTGGTCGGTAGTAATTTTAACGCTACGCCGCCCGCCTCGGCGGCTGAGGGCCAGAAAACACGGAAAGCTGCGGCTTTGCATGACTCATGCAAAGCGTTGTTTCTTGCCAGAGTATCGTTGAGAGACCAGATTGCGGTAGATCTACCTCATCCAGCCGTGCCGTCCAAGGAGCCGG